AGAAGTGTATAACACGCTTTGTTTTAATGAAAACCCGGTTAAAATTTATTTTGTAAATTTTTGAATGTTCGAACACCTTTTGACCGGAAGCGGAAACACCAGATTTGATAGCCACAAACGGAGATAGCCAAAGTGTTCCTCCTGTCAAGACCTTTCCAACGGTACCAAATTTGGAGATGGAAGGGCCCTTTTGTCTGAAAATGATCGGCGTGTTATGCTAGTTCATTATCATTGCAGTAAAAATATCATCATCAAAAACTGATGATAGCTTGATAGCTTTTAATAATAAAAGAAAAGGCATTCAGAAAATGGCGCTGTATATCATTGTCCATAATTTTTATTTTTAAATGGCATGCATGAAATTAAGAAATACTCTTGGCATGTTTGACGCTTTTTTGCCAAGTCTTTTTTACGACTAGTCAAGTCTTGTCTTGTTTACACATAATCAAGCAAGCCGTTTGCTGTGTGGTTTTGTCATGTGCTGTAATTTTATTTTAATTTATGAAAATGAATTTACGCTTTGAAATACGCACCTTTCATTTGTGTTTTCCACTGTGATATATGAAATGGCTATAATATGCAAAGCTGAGCTTGTACTGAAAGTGGAGTTTCATCGCTGGTCAACAATTCCCCTCGTCACTTCACCTCGCCAATGTAATCAACCAGTGAGCACAGGATATTGATTTTTTGTATATATTTTTGTTTATAAAATATTTTGAATTTTTAAATAGTAATCAAAATCACTGATAGTGATAAAAAACATACACCCATTGTTCAGTGAAACTAATCAAAAAGAAGTTTTTGAAATCCATTATAAAATCGGAATCGATTGCAACCTCTGCAATCAACCACGTACCATCATTTTAAATTTCTCCCTCTCCTTGGGCAATTAAGTTATCAAAATGCTCAATTATTTTCAACTTTTGGAAGAGAAAATTACATTAAATGAGGTATATTACATATCATTGAGTATCATTCGATACCACCTTACAAGGAAAGGGCTATATCGGTAATTACCTATCTATCATATTGTTTGTTTAATGACACCAATTGACGCATCGTTGTCAAATTAGAAAAGAGCTTCGCGTGATAGATGTGAGATTTTTAGTCATCATTAGAAAATGGTGTTAAGAAAAAACTAACAAAGTTTAAAATTCAAGGAAACCCTCTCTTTGGAAACTTAGGTAAACACACTTCATCTTCTTCTTCTAAAGGTATTACCAGGTAAACCGAAAATTCCGAGCTATTGGTCAGTTTAGGCAGCAGCAGCATCTTCGTGCTGACGCCTTTTGTAATTCCCCGGCAATCACCACCACCACCATCGTCTCTCTCTCTCCTGTGTGTGCACACTTGTGGGAGAGTGTCGTTAAATCCTCTAAAGAGTCACATCAGAGAAAGTCAGCCAGTCTCTGCACCACTGTCCGCACCTGTCCTGCCCTGTCCGCTGGCAGCAAAGTTTAGCTCAGCGATGTGGTCATCGTCATCATCATCATCACCACTGCCAATGACTCACACGCCTTCTTCTGCTTCTTTTCAGCAAATTGAAACGAGTCTTTTACCCTTCACTCTGCAGAGTTGTGCCTGTAGCTGATCTTGGCAGCCTCTCACTTTCACTATCACTCTCACTTTTGCTTTCATTCTTTCTTTTTTTCAATTTCTCCCTTTCCCTCTCCCATTTTCCCTCCCTCGCTCACTCCCTTCAGCTTAGCTCTCTCTCACTCACTCATTTCATCGCCGCCGCATCAATTAGCTCTCTCATGCACACGCTCACGTTCACGTTAGAGTTTTTTGAAACTTTAAATTGCTATTGCAAAATGGTGATGCTCCCTAGACGGTACAGCGCAGATGGGTCGCTGTCAGCGGTGTTGAGGCATTCCAGACGCAAACTGGGACACACCCACAGGGGCATGGTGTAAACCTCTTAAAATTTGCACGTGTCATTTAGGAGAAATTCTACCTGTACGGTGTAATGCATTGCTTATGGAAGGAGTTTTAGAAGGAGCTTCAGAACACTGCCAGCGCAGGGGTACTTTAAAGTGGCCCATCTGCTGATCAGGCCCTTTGAGCGGGCGATAAAGGTGCTCGCCTGCAAAGTGTTCAGCTCCTGCCCCCTTTCTATGCAGAAAGGACTTGCTGTGTACAGTATGCCCATCAGCTTCACAATTCACGTACGCTACTCTTTACAATACGATACGTGAGTGTGTGGACAATCTTGTGGACATCTGAGAAAGAGCAGCAGCAGCAGCAGCAGTGTTGTATATCTGCATGCAGGCATCTAATCTACAGCGACCAGCCCACCAGGTGGTTATTAATAGCAGGGCTGATGCTGCTAGTGTTGAAGCAGTTTTCAAAACGAAGCAAGGCAAAGTTAAAAGCTGTCGCAGCTCAGCGACAGGTAAATTGAACTGCTGCTGCTGCCACTACTGCTGCTGATGATCGGACGGCGACGACGAGGCACTTCGATTTCGAATCGTGTGTGTGTGTGGTTGTCCGTGAGCGACAATTATCGGCGGCAGCATCTTTGCTGTTCACTGTTCGATTTACAACTCAGCGCAGCGCATAAGCAGCAGCACCTTCAAAATTGCCTTCAAAAACTAGCGACTTGCAATTTCAAACTCTGTGCTTGCGCGCCGTGTCTCTGAAACTTTATTTTCAACTTGCTCTCACTTTCACGGCCTCTCTCTCTCATTTTCTCCCTTTTTACATGTGCGCACGTTTTGAGAGCACATTTTTTCAAGTGCTGTAAAATCGTTGTTAAATTTTTCTGCTGCTGCTGCTGCCTTTGTTTCTGCAACCTCTTCTTCTTCTTCTCCTCCTCCTCCGATGCAGGACCTATCACTGTGCACCACCATGGTCCCCGATCATCACCTGGGCCACATGATCTCAGTTCCTCAGCCGCCGCCGCCGGCGGTTATAGTGAAGAGCCCAGCTGCTCTTCCCATCGCCGTAGAGGTGTCCAATGTGGAGTTTAAATATGGCAAAAATTACTTTGATCCCAGTATGATCATAACCAATCCGATGGGCTTCATGAACATGCGCAGCTCACAGGTGCTCAAGAAGATTTCCATTTCGGCGCCAAAGGGAAAGATTTACGCGCTTCTCGGAGCGAGCGGTTGTGGTAAGTAGTTTTTGCATTTTTGTAGTTGACAACTTTAACATCATCTTACCAAATAAAATATTCAACCAGGAAAAACAACCCTTCTGAAGTGCATCCTCGGCCAGTTGCAGCCCAAGTCGGGGTACATTAAAATCTTCGGTCAGAAGCCGGGCTCTCGGTTGTGTCCAGTGCCAGGGCCCGGCGTCGGCTACATGCCTCAGGAGTTGGCCCTTTTTCCCGAGCTGACGGTCCAGGAAACGCTTCGCTACTTTGGTCAGCTCTACAAAATGCCCACAGAGAAGATTCAGTCGCGCATTGAGTATATTGTCGACTTTCTAGGGCTGCCCGGCAGCAATCGAAGAGTGAAGCAGCTTTCAGGTACGTTGTGTGTTTGTGAAATTCTTTTTGGACATTTTTTAAATGCGCATTTTAACTTTTTAGGTGGTCAACAGCGACGAGTTTCGCTGGCCTGTGCGCTCATTCACCAGCCAGCGCTGATGATTTTGGATGAGGTAAAGTTTCAAGTTTAAAAGTTTTTTAAAGCTAACCCATTCTTTTGAATGCAGCCCACTGTAGGCGTCGACCCGCTGCTTCGAGTGACCATTTGGAAGCACTTGGAGGAGTTGTGCATCCGCGACGGCCTCACCGTCATCCTCACCACTCACTACATCGAAGAGGCTCGAGCCGCAGAGACGATTGGCCTGATGAGAAACGGCCAACTGCTGGTGCAGGCCAATCCCGAGGTCCTGCTCGTGCAGCACAACCTCTCCACGCTGGAGCAGGTCTTTCTAAAGTTGGCCGTCAAGCAGGACGATGAAAAGAAGTCAGGAATAGAACTGTCGGCATTACCGCCTCCACCGCCCCCCTCATCAGAGCTGGTCTACTACAAATCGGCGGAGATCAACAACAACTTCATTCCCAATACGGCGATTGTCAACTGCAAACCTCCGCCTCCTTCTGAGCCCTACCTTCACCCGATCATGGGCAAGAGACCAGCGTTTTTTGATTTTTTCCGATTCTACGCACTGCTCACCAAGAACTGCATCAGCCTGCGTCGCTCCATTCTGGTCACCGTTTTCTACTGCTTTCTGCCGGCGCTGCAGTTCAGTCTCTTCATGTTCTGCTCCGGCAAGTCGCCCAGCCACATTCCCGTGGCGGTGGTCAACGACGAGGACCCGGCCAATATGACGGGCAGGTTTCTTGACTTTATGGACCCGGTGGCGATTGTGCAGGTAAATACGAGCACCGTTGAGGAGGCCACTGAAGTTGTGATGAAGGGGAAAGCTTGGGCGGCGATGCACCTCTACGGAAACTTTACCAGCGCGCTGGATGAAAGGAGGCAAAAGGTAAACAAAGAAATTAAAAGTGTGCACATAATAACACTGCCTCTTTTTCCAATTCCAAATCAGCTCATCTTGGCGGAAGATGACGTGGTGAAGGCCTCCAACATTCACCTGTACCTCGACATGACCAACCCGGTGCTGGGCGCCTTCGTCATCTCCAACGTCTTTCTCTCCTTCTACAAGCTGATGAAGGAGTACCTGGGCAAGATCGGCTACAACCCGAACGTCCTCTCGGCGCCGATGACCATCGCCGAGGTGGTCTACGGGACGATGGACCTCAACGCCATGACCATGACAGAGTTCATCACCCCCGGGCTGATCATTCTGATCGCCTTCTTCTCCACGGCGGCCGTCGCCGGCCTGGCGCTCATCCTCGAGCAGAAGGACGGCCTGATGAAGCGGTCGTTGGTGGCCGGCGTGCAGCCGCTCGAATCGCTTCTAGCGCACGTCTTCACCCAGACAATGGTGCTCATCTTCCAGCAGGTGCTCCTCTTCCTCACCATCTTCTTCGTTTTTGGCGTCAACTCCCGCGGCCCTCTGCTGATCATCTTCATCATCTGCTTCCTGCAGGGCATAGCCGGCACCATGTACGGCCTCTTCATCTCGTCGCTCTTCCCCGATGAGGTCTCTGCGGCGATCGTCACCATGGGCTCCTTTCTGCCGACGCTGATGATCAGCGGCATCATGTGGCCCATCAAATCTATCTCCATCTATCTGCACTACATTTCGCTTTTTCTGCCTCAGACCCTCGCCATGCACTCCATCCGCTCGGTGCTCTCCCGCGGTTGGGGCCTGGAGAAAACAGAAGTTTGGCTCGGCTTCTGGTCCTCAGGCGCCTGGGCTACCATTTACCTTCTCTTGGCAGCCTTTCTCTTCTCTCGCTATCTTTAGCCAATGTGTGTGTGTATATTTACAACAAACAAAATAGCTTGTCATACTTTAGTTTAGTTTAGCTTTCATCACTTGTGGTATTTATTATTATTTTTGTTTTATAATACTTTTTGGTTGTAATCGTTCCTCTTTGCAACACTCGTCAACATTGGATACAATGGCATTTTTTAAAGCACAAAAGTTGGCAAAAAATAGACTGCGTTTCATTGATTGCTATCTCATCTCAATAAATAAAAGTTATCGCTTTCCTATTCCTAAAAGTACTATTTTTATTGCAAACTCAAATGCGTACCTCTGCTGGCGTCAGTGTTGATCAATGATGCATCGCAGTTGACGTACAGTTGGGCAATTAAATCGCAATTGGCTTTAAAAAGTATTTAAAGTCAATTAAAGTTTTTTTGCAACAGGCAATTCCACATACTAGCAGACAATTAAAAATAGTTTAAGTCAAACATGGAAGAACTCATTTTCAAGTCTTCTCATTCACAAATTAAAACATTTCACATTACGCACACTTGGACAATTGATAATATCAAGCACTTTTTAGACGACACACAGAAAGAAAGACTGATCGACTCAAAAACGGAAAAATGTGATCATTTTACTCACTTTTTACGATTGAACATTGAGCCCCCTGGCGATCCGTATGTCGAGCTGCACATCCAAGCTCTAAAGGATGTCAAATTTGACATTTCATTTAAGGTGGCTTTGCTAGGAAAGGACGATCACGAAGTGAAAGATGCACACTTGGGTTTGTCTTGACAGTTCTGTTTACCTTTTACTAGCAATGTCTTTATTGTTTCTAGATTGGACCACTAAACCACTCAAACTGGCCACTGGAAAGACAGACTTTTTTCAAGGAATCGATATTAATGTGAGCAAAGTTAAGGCTAGTAATCCGGAAGTTTTTACCGAAAACAAGTTTAAAATCAAGTGTGAAGTAAGTGTGACACTTTTCTAATTGTCTAGCATACCTTTCATAACAGCTTTATTTCACAGGTAAAGTTCATTGCCGACAAACAAGTGTTTTCTTAAGTTTTTTTGACTTTATAACTAAAGATTTTTTTCTTTTAAATGAATGCTTTTTTGTTTACTGTACTGAGAGAAAAGAAGTTACAAGGTAGCGTGCAACAGGCGAACGATGTTGTAGGCCTGAGCAGTGCGAATGGTGGACCAGACGAAGGCGTCCGAGTTGGCGACAATGTGGGCGGCGAAGAGGGCGGCATTGTCGGCGCCCACCACCGTGGCCGAAGCCATACCCGAGGGAATGCGAAGCGAGGACCAGATGTCGGCGTTCAGCGTCGTCAGCTCGGTGGTCGGCGGGCTGCTGATGACTGTTGGAAAAAAAGAGGAGAGAAAGTGTTAGAGCAAAAGGTAAACAACAACAAAATGCTGCTTACCGGGAAGGGGCAAATTGGCGGCCAGAACCGGTCCCAGGCCATTGCTCATGCCGGCGACGGCCACGACGGCCTTCGCCGAGGTCCACTGCTGAATCTGCGCGGCCAGGTCCAGCGTTTTTCGGGTGCCCTTGTGCGCCGAGCTGACGTGCACGTCAACATGGGGGACGCCGTACTTCTTGCGGAGAGCGTCGCGAATTTTGTAGGCGTACTCTTTGTCGGAGGGCGAGCCCACGACGACGGCCACCGTGGGCGAGTACTTCGTCCCGGCGACGGGCTTGGGAATGAGCCCGCTGAAGAGGGACTGGGTGCGCTCGGCGACCACCGTAAAGTTCTGCTTCACCAGACTGAGCGCATCGGCGTCAATGGCCGAGTTGTCCATGTTTCGGTAGACCTGCTTGTCCAGCATCAGCCGCTTCTCGCCGTTTGGCCACAGGCGCCAGCTGTCATTGTCGATGACGTCGGCGACGACAATGGAGCGGACGCCATTCTCCTCTGCCACCCCAAACTCAATCTTCATGTCAATCAGCGAGTGATTCACAGTCTGCCAGGCCCGCTCCAGCACCTCAAAGACCAGGCTGGAGACGGTGAACATCTCCTGAACGTGCTCGGCGGTGATCAGCAGACCGCCGATGTTCAGCTCCGCGCCGATGAGCGTCTCCTCCGACCAGAAGGGATCGTGGTTGGCGTCGTCCTTGAAAAAGGTCTCCAGCTTCAGCGGTGCAAAGCGGTAGCCCTCCTTGACATGCNCCAATGAGCGTCTCCTCCGACCAGAAGGGATCGTGGTTGGCGTCGTCCTTAAAGAAGGTCTCCAGCTTCAGTGGGGCAAAGCGGTAGCCCTCCTTGACGTGCGGGTGGCGTTTCAGGTAGGACCCGGTAGCGACCCGACGACTGACCCACTCGATGGGGATCATCTCGCACTTCTTCGCGACGAAGCTCTTCTGGTGGTCGGCATTCGATTTGGCGACTCGACCGACAAAGTGCGTCCTGATGCCCACTGCATTCAGGTACTCGAAGATGGCGCAGTTTGTTTGCGTAGAGAGGATCGACTTGCCCTCGATGACGTGCGACTTGACGCCGTCGCCGGCGGTGATGCGATCCTTGTTCAGGACGTACACGTGACCGGCGTGCTGGGCCCCCTTCAGCCCGTACACCTGCTTCGTCTTCCCTTCGATGATCAGGGCGCCGATGTCGGAAGAAGCAATTTCTAAAAAGGGAGGAGATTAAAGTACAAACAAACAATCACAGTATAAGTTTAAAAACTGAAATAGGCGCCAATAATTAATTTGTCAGCCATAACAAAACAAATATGTGTGCAGAGAGCACATTAAAACGCACTGACTTTGACCAGTGCTAAATCGAAGGTCAGCAATAATCTTTATTGGACACGGTGCGATTGAAATATTGAGGATTGCATCACTGGCCTTTTATGAATTGAAAGCGCGTTTACCGTAACAGCAGCTATTAGCTACACACACAGACAGGCTATATAAATTAGCATAATACTATTTATGACGACAAGGGAAGCAGAAGCTAGAAGAAGAAAGGGGAAATGGGGAAAGGGGGATGCAAAAGCATCTAACCGCAGTTGTACACAAACAAAACAATGCCACTAGTACTTACCCATTTTGACGTTGATGTTTAAAATCTTGTGCGCTTTAAGTTTGTGTGAGCAGAAAGTTGTTCAGAGCCCCACGGTTAGTGAAAAACTGGAAGTGACGCTCAAGCTAAGGTGAGATTTAAATAATAAAAGATAGAAAAACTGTTGCTGATGCTGTTGCTGCTGCCGCTGTCAGTGATCAGTCGATGGATGGCACGAGTGGCACTGCTGTTTCACACTGCTGAAACTCGAGGGACAGACACAGGCTCACAAGCTCGATAAGATTGCTTTCACTGTCACAGTCACAAAGCAGGAAAAAGCTTTCCCAAGAGACGAAAAGATACTTTGGCTGTTTTTCTTTGATAAGCAGTAGCTTCTCTTGGGGGCTGCGCTTGTGGTTGCTCGAGGGTAAAATGAGCTTGTAAAACGAGCGTACTTTGCACTAGCAATGTATTTCACTACAGTACGTTCTCAAGATGGGTCTTTTGAAACATGTGGTAAACTTCACAAGGTACGTATGTCTACAACTTTTCACAATTTTTAAAGTTTTGAATTTAAAAAAACTTGTTTTTTGTTAACATACTTTAATCATATTTACCAGACTCCCATGATTAGCTGTACTTTAGTCTCAAACATTCGACTATTTTGTTTTCCATTTTGTCTAACTGGCCGTCTAGAGCCAAGATTTTTTTGCCTAGTTTATCAA